GTGACTTAGCGTCAGGGAAGGTAAGAACCAAGACGCTCCATATTATGCAGAGCAAGACTTAGGTAAGTAAGTACCAACTAGGTGACAGAAAAAAAGATATATCTCATGTGATTATTTAGCATGAATGTTATATAATGTGAATTACACGACGACGTGCATCTAATAACTGTAAAAGCAACACCGGCATTTAAAGTTGCAATATTATCAAAAGCCTTAAAGCATACGGGGTTTGATTGCGCATCCCATCTGCGCACAGAAGAAACTAGCATGTAGCGTAGACAAGAGACTATAGAGAAAATGTTGCCCTTTACTGTCAAACTGTTTTTCTAGACACCAGTCGTTTTAACGGCCATCCTCGTGTGAGCACAAGTTCCAGCGGTTGAATCAGGTAACTGTGTAGTCTAGATATCAGCTGTCAAGTTCGCCGCCAACCGCACCCCAGACAAGTAGCGGACAATACATGGCTCTTTGATTATTAAAAAAAAAAAAATAGTGGAAACATGGCTGCCATAGCATGACAGTGTGGGCGATGGTCGCTTGTCAGTTGTAAATGGTGCAAGTGTTGTCATGGAAAGAAATACTTGGATATAAGTGGTTGTGATACCTTGAGCATTATCACCATATGTTTTTAAAATGTCACATAAGTAACATCAAGCAGTAACCTTTAGAATATGGACATCCTTTCAGATTGAATTAGAGGTGTCAGATGTGATATATATATTTATATATAACTTGTGCTGGAAATGCCTCCCCCCCCCCCCCCCCCCCACCCCTTTTCCCCACAAGTCACAAAAGACAAGTAACATCATAAGACTGAGAGATATTTTTTAAGGTTGGAATATGTGGGGAAGGGGAGCAGGGTGGGGAGTACAGTTATATACATATTTAACCATCTATGATCTACCAATGTTTTTGGTTTTTCTCTTTCAGCAGTATCTATCTGCTGACCTCTGGTCAAGTACTAGAAACTGTATGTTTAACTTGCCAATAATTATAAGATGTTGGTGCTTGGTTTCTTATGAAGAATACAAAGTACTTCTATTTTTTTCCCCTAAACTTCATTGGTGGCTGGTCTGCATATTACAATAAATTGATGAATCCAGTATTTACTTATACCTGTATCTGGTGTATTTTATACCACAGCCTATGGTCGGCACCCATCTAATAGTGGTAAAAGTAAAAGTAAAGGACCCTTTCCACGCCTTTAGGCGTATAGGGCATATAGGGCTAGACCTATATTTTTATAGACCAACGGCACAAGATGGGTGATGTGGTCAGCATCACGCCGGCCGCCTCTACTTCCCGGGATTGCACCCGGTACCGACTCAAGGCTGGGTCGACCTGGGAGCCAAGGTCATTTTCTGAAGAAAAGCCCGTCTCCACCAGGGAGCGAACCCACGACCTTCCGATCCGCGTCTAGCCGCTCTGCCACGGCGACTCCCTAATAGTGGTGTACCAGAGCAATTTTGAAAAGTCACTTGGTTTGCACCCAAAGACCACCATACTTTGTTACAAACAGTTATTGAAACAGAATCATTTGATCTGGCAAACTGTCTGGACAACCACATTTGATCTGTCATACTGCCTGGGCAACCAAATTTGTTCTGTCACACTGCCTGGACAACTACATTTGATCTGTTACACTGCCTTGACAACCACATTTGATCTGTCATACTGCCTGGATAACCAAATTTGATCTGTAAAACTGCCTGGACAACCAAATTTGATCTGTCATACTGCCTGGACAACTACATTTGATATGTCATACTGCCTGGACAACCACATTTGATCTGTCATACTGCCTGGGCAACCACATTTGATCTGTCATACTGCCTGGACAACTACATTTGATCTGTCATACTGCCTGGACAACCAAATGTGATCTGTCGTACTGCCTGGACAACTACATTTGATATGTCATACTGCCTGGACAACCAGATTTGATCTGTCATACTGCCTGGACAACCACTGTTTAGGAGGTTGTGGGGCATTGCAGGTGAACTGTGTTTGTCAGAATGGTTTGTCTTTGCCCTTTACTGAGAATTTGAAGAGCCCAATATTCAAACTCTTTATTGACCCACTGCTCAAAGAATTATATGCCTGTTGTTGATTATTAAAAGGATTTATATAGCTAGCATGCCATTGCAAATCATTCCCCATGGGACACCCTGCACACAATGTTGTATGTTAATGACATCTACTGAAGCCTATCCATTTGTTTCTTTTGTGAGTCAAGAATGTATATTTTTTTGGCATTATCCCTACAACTTTAGCTGGGAGAATCAAATTTGAAGAATTCTTCCCACGTACAGGTCTAAACCAGGCATGATTTCAACATATCACTTATGACCTCAGTGGTTTTCATAGATTGCACATTTTTTTTTTTCATTCCATCAAATCATTTTCTGTCTTGTGGTGAATGTCAGCTTCTCTCTCTCTCTCTCTCTCTCTCTCTCTCTCTCTCTCTCTCTCTCTCTCTCTCTCTCTCTCTCTGTTTCTTCCCCCTTTCACTGTAGCTATCAATTTCTTTAGGATTATACAGTGTCTCATCGGTTTATTAAGAGATTCATGGTTCACTCATCATCATCATGTAGCAGGTTATTTGCAGAACGTCGCTCTCATCACAGTCTGCCTGAAAGAACTTGTCTTCTCACCAGCTCTCCCGCCCCATGCACTTTCATACTCAAGGAGTCACTTATATCCTGTGCTCATCTTCGTGTTACCATGCCTTCTGCTATAATTTGTTCCAATCCGTCATAGTGCTTGATATGACCAAAATATTTCAGCTTCCGAGACAAGATGCTGTTTATTAGCCAGTCTTCCTTGATGTTCAGATCTTTCAAGTTGTCAGCATTTCTCCTCTTTTTCGTCCAAGATATTCTGAGAATCTTTCTATAGCATTTCAGCTCAAAAGCCCTATCCTCTTTCTTAAGGACTGGGAGATAGTCCACGACAGACACACTTCCCTATGTTGCTACAGGGAAGATGTATGCTTTTAAAATTCAAATTTGGTCTCTTTGCTGGTGCTTAACAATAGACTTTTTAAGCTGTTTAATCTTTGTATTGCTATGACCATCCTCCTTTTAATTCTGTCAAATAGTCTCAATTTCTATTTATTATAGAGCCTAGATATTCAAAATTTGTGACATTTTCAATTTCTTCACTATTTATTGTTATTTTTGGGTGACAGCCAGTTTTATCTGTGGACGTTATTTTTGTTTTCTTTAAATTCAAGAACAGATTTTGATCTTCACTGTGCTTTTGGACAGTATTAAATTTTCTATTTCCTTTACGCTGTTGGAAAGGAGGACTGTGTCATCATGGTTCACTATCAGAGGTTTCATTCCTAGGAAAACAAAAGTGCAGCTGCTCACCACAAATAGTTTTTGAAAAGTCTTGGTACTCACTACAAAGTGTCTTTTATGGGGGGGGGGGGGAGTCCGCCATATAAAAGGTGCTGGTACTGTGTACAGCTGTATACCATCAGAAAAAAGCCCTGGTGCTTATAAAGACTATTTAACAGTCCACACATCCAGTGTCAACTGATGAGTTTAATACTTTGCCATGTCAATGCAGAATCTGTTTGTGGGTGGCCTGCCTGTACATTCTTTATCTGGTTGGTTTAATGTGTCTTTGCTTGCTAGTTTTTCTTTCTGTAACTTTCTTCCCATATTCCTACATTCGTATTTAAGTGGTAGAAAATCTTTCTTCCAAATGCTTGTTGTTATTTACGGATAGCATAGAACAATTGATAGATATTTGTTGCGTGTTCTGGTATACAATATGGGTAGTTCTGATTATTTTTTCAGTTTCTTTACAAAATACATAAATATATTTTTATGCTATAGTGAGAGAAGTCTGAATGTTTTAGAAATGAGTGTTCTGTCTGAGATCACTGCTTTATTGTTAACCTGTGAATTTATTCCTGTTTTCCTGTCACTTATTTCTTATTAGTGTCTTGCTTGAGCTTTGCATGTTTAGCAGCTGTCATAATTCCTGTTTCAATAACTTTTGTGTTGTTAATTGCCCATAGATAAATGATCCATTGATTGATTGGTTGTGTTCTTGATTTGTACAGTCAGAGCTCCAACTAATGACTCTAATAAAATCAGTAGTTAATTTCAGATTCATGACATCCCCATACAGTTTTTAGTGGGGGGAAGTTGGTTGCTGCCATATTTAGCTATGATCATAACTGTAATCTGCACATGCCTGTATGTAATAGGCACCTGACAATCATGGGGCCAGAGCCAGGCACACAGATCCAATCTTGAACTTTTGATGATGTCAGAAAGTTCATGAGTGCAGTTAAAAAAGTAATGACTTAATTCAAACTTGGAAGTTGATACCATAATGTTTTGGTCATGGTGGTCTTTTATATTTTGTCCTTACTTAGAATTGGTTGCATTTGTGAAGCACAGCTTTGGTAATTCTGATTCTTTTCTGGATTCTTTAACAAAATAATTAATTTGTTGCCTTTTACAAAGTTGTTAAGTAGCTTTTTGTAGAGACCTTGTTAGCTTTGCATGTCAGCCTACTTCTTTGATCACCAGAATGTGGCAGTGGGATGATATCCATTGTAGTGTGGCAGTGGCATAATGTCTATTGCAATGTGGCAGCCTGATAGTATATGTTGTAATGTGGCAGCCGGATAGTATATGTTTTAATGTGGCAGTGGGATAGTATATGTTGTAATGTGGCAGGGGGATAATATTCATTATAATGTGGCAGTGGCATAGTATCTGTTGTAATGTGGCTGTGGGGTGATATCTTTATAATTTGTGGGATAGTATCTCTTGTAATATGGCAGTGTGATAGTATGTTTTCATATCAGTGTTGCATAATTTGATAATGGTGGCAGTTGAAATATTAATTGAGGAAATATTGTTACACTTTCTTATTTTGAAAAGTTTTGATAATGTAATTTTTCTTCCTGCAGAAAACTGTATATGTGAGCTTCCTTCATATTGATTGCATATTTAACATTACCACAAACCAACATGGAAGAAGACCCTGGTAGTATTGTGAGAATTGAGTACAATACCATAGAACTGCCACCCTCTGTTGAGATCAGAGAGTCTTCAGTCAGTAGTGGACAGGCAGGTAAGAGGTTTGCCATTGTGATTATAATATTGTAGTTCTTATTTAAGTGGAAGCTTACCAGGTTTTAATAATGTTGGCCATTTATAAACTGTGATTTTTGAAGTCATGGCAACTCAGTGATTAGATGCTTGCCTAAGGTTGTTGGTTCAATATCTGTATTGGGAAGGTTTTTATAATTTACCTCACTTCCCAAGTTGACCCAGCCTGAAAATTTAGGCCAGTGACTTGAAAAGGGGGCCTTTTCTTAAACGTTTGCCTAGATATTTATAGCACTGCCGGCTGTTAGTTTGATTTTCAAAATGCAACTTTATGAGATAAATTGGACTAGCGCTGTCATGATTTTTTATTTACAAAAATGTTGACTATTTTGGCAAATATATGACAGCTTGGTGAGATTAAAGCAAGTGTAATTATAATGTTCACAAAAATTGATGTACCTAAATAATATCTGATAATGCTTCTTTTTCCTTTGCCTTTATCTTTCAATGGAGCATAGGCCCTCAACCAGCCTACCCTAAGTTCTAAGATCCCTTGCCATCATATACAGCCTACCCCCTTTCTTCTCATCTTTTTAACTCTTTTAGTCCCAAGAAACGCATCCTATGTTCATAGGTTCCTACCTAGAAACCCAACGAACGCATGATGTGCCGATTTTATTACTTTCTTTACTACCCATTGGGCCTGTGATGCTAAACCCCTTGGGACTGAAAGAGTTAATAAACGTTTCTCTTTAGTTCTCTTCTCTGTGTGTTTTTTGGTCTGCTATTATTCATTCGACCCTGGTGGTCCAGAGCAGAGACATTCTAATTATATTCTTATCAGGCTTTCTCAGTCTCTGTTCTACACAATGCACTGGTATTTTCCTCACCTTTTGGTCCACTGTAACTTGTTCAGTTATCTCAGATTCTATCAAACCATTTAATTCCCTCTTTTTTGTGGAGTTAATAGAACGGTACACACAATTACTTCTTTTTCTTCAGCATTTCGAGCCCTTGAGGTTCATTTCTACAGATATCACCCACCTCCATTCATCTCTCTGGTAGGCCTTCCCTTTCCAGTTAGTAACACCAAGTGTTTGCAGGTCTGTCTGGATATTATCTCTCCATTGTCTTCTTGGTCTCCCTCGTAGTCTACAGCCATTCATCTCCCTGGTGTATACAGTTTTTACTTCTCTTTCATCTGAAATTTTTTCAATATGCCCCAACCATTTCAGTCTATTAGCTCTCATGATGCCAGTGATCAGTGGTGATTTAAACATTAAATACATAAAAAACAAAAAATTACAGCTTAATGTAAACAGTATAACAAGAAAATATTGTTCACCTGTCAAATGTATATACTGCTACAAATCAACATGTGTCCACTTGCAGTTCTATGTAAAACAATACCAGAATCAAAGCAACATCTTTAGTATGAAAAATAATACAAATGTACATGTAACTATGATTTTTTTAATAAAAGAACATTTAATCAAGTAGGGAGTTTACTGCACAGATGCTGAGGTGGTATATATGACAGGTTGGGTTAGAAAACACAACCATTTAACTGCAACGTGTACATTATTTCTTTATATTTTACAGTTAAGAATAAAAATATTTCCATATTTTTATAGAACATGTAGTGTAGAGTAAATATGTAAAATCACATAGAGTATGTTACCAAGATGTGTTTAAATCCTGAAATGTATGTTTAAGGAAGTGCAGATGATAAACTGTCACTATACTCTGTAAACAAAAGTGTGCAACAGACTTGTGTAATAAATTGTATTATTTCTGCAGGTGCCTTTTCCAAAACATTAATTCCTAAAGACACAAAATTTGGACCTTATAAAGGGGAGATCATTAATGCAGGGCAGAAAAATTATATTGACTACAGATTTGCCTGGGAGGTGAGTAGTCATTGAAACAGCTGATGATGAGTAGCTTTGATTACGATGTGATGAATTCAGGATTTTCCCTTGACCTGGGGCCCAATTTTTTTTTCAGAAAAAAAGCATGGCTTCAGAGGTCCCAGGTAGTTAGCGTCATTTGGATATTTTCTCCAGGTCATGTTGGTGCGTTGGGAAACAATGAGGCAGATAGACTGGCTAGCTCTGCACCACTTCGTGGTGAATTGATGTATGACAAGCTAGATATTGTGAGGACCCTTCAGGAGCTCATGAACAGTGTGGAGGTACAAATAGATCATTAAGGTCTGAGGAGAATGGTGCTGCGGGTTACCAGGGGATCTCAACACTCAAGGGAAAGGCGTGCAGTCAGGCAATTACTAGTACCATTGTCATTGGTACTCTTCGTTTGCTGATGAAGAGGGGGGCGCAGCTCTTATGGGAGTGTCCTGTGGTGTGCTTTGATGTCAATTTTTAATTCAGCATTCAGTGCCATGAAGATTACGGTATTTAAGTTGTGTGTCATCTATTTGTTGACATATTTTGTTTCTTAACACAGTAATCCCAAAATGTTATAAGTCAAATAGGTTGCGTAAAATAAATAGCAGTTAAATATTAGCTACAATTGCTGGAATGTGTTCGACTGACACCTTCATTTTTAAACAGTAATAACATTCAGATTTTTTAAAAATGTAACACATCTGATGAAATTCATTTTATGCTTCTTAGTTGAAGCATTATGTGACAGCATTGTTTGCTCAAATTTGAGAAGTTCATGAATATATAAGTTACGAGATAGGGTGATGGATGGATAGATAGCTAGAAAGCATTGTAGAGTGGCTGTTTGAAAGTGGTCTGCAGTTACAGTGGTCATTCATACTGTGGGACACGTCCCATAATGGAGAGTTTAAAAATAATAATCTCAGTGACATACAGTATAAAAAAAAGCCAAAGCTCATCCTGTCATAAAGATTTGGTCACTGTTAGCTTCACCTGACTGTTCTTATCTTGTTACCATTGACAGGTGTTTGAAAAGGACAGCAATGTCTTGAGGCACACAGTCAGTGCACTGGATCCCAAGTCTAGTAACTGGATGAGACATGTCAACTGTGCTAGGTTTTATGAGGAGCAGAATATTCTGTCTATCCAGGAGGAATATAGCATTTTTTATGTTGCAATGAAGGTATGAAAAAGTTTAACTATTATCATACTTGATAACCTTGTGGCCATCCAAAGAACACTGTTCTTCACACATCCTGTCATTTACAAGGGCTGTTTACAGAATAAGTATCATGTCACAATTGATGTGGAGGTGAAGAGAAATCTTGGACAATATGGAGTCGTCTAACACACAAGCGCCTCATGTTTCTCTCTAGTAAATTGCTGTGAAGATTCTGGTTCATAACCCCATGTTTTTAATAACAAAAGCAGTTATTGATTTATTAATATTGTTACAGCAAGTAGTATCACCTATAAGAAACAGTAGAATTATACAATGAATAAGAAATTAATGACGACTGTTTATGTTGATGTAACATAAAAGCTCTTCAATACAAAACTAATGCCACATTTTGACCGCTTGAATGGTTGGTGATTTATTTTGAGCCCATGGTATAAGTTACCTTAACAATTGAATGTTTATTCTATCTTTGAACTAAATTGAAGCAGACATTGATCGGGAGTGACAGAAGATAAAGAAGAAGCAATGGCTGAAGATTATTGATAAAATAATGTGTTAGTGGGCACTGATGTTTTGTTTTTAAAAAAGGCAACAGGAGCTTGCAGTAGGACTAGGAAATTTGAAAGTTTTAAAAAAATATACACTTGGTACCAAACTTAGAATAATTAACTCTGAAGTTATTTAACTTGCTGTCGTAAAGAACAGAAACGGAGAATCACCAACACAATTACTAATACATTTTAAACATTCTTTAACTGAATGCCATGAGCATATCACATAATAACTCAATTTAAATGTCATTGTATGGAACCCACAGAGTAAAAAAGCTATGAGATAACTAAAAACACAAGGAGAAGAGAATTAGAAAGGAGGTGAGCAATAATTGGATGGCATGGAATGAGCTGCACAATATGGCAAATGATAGGATGACTTTGTGTTGGTTGAAAACGTCAGTGGAAGATAGGGGCAAAAGAAGTTACTAGTGTCTTGTATTTGTACTGATATTGTAATTAAGATAGTTGTCAGGATCATTTCACATTCATCTGCAGATGACCCACATATTTTGAATAAAAAACTCCAGTATTTAAAAATGTTCATCTTTGTTGTGATTTGAATATTACATTTGATACCATGAAAGTTTGCTTTAGTGTAGGTGAAACAAGCTCATTACCTACATGTGGTTATTATATTCTCCTCTCATCTTGCAGAACATCAAACCTGGGGAGGAATTGCTCACTTGGTTTGATCCTAAGTTGCTGAAGCGGACAAAGAGACGTTTATCAAAAATGGGGCGTAAGCCTGTTGGGTACACTATAGGTGAGAATATGTGCTTTATTTACTGCAGGTGAATATAGATCTAGTCATGTGGTTGTGACATCAGGGGGAATTCAGTACAGTGTTGTGGAGATTGTGACATTATAGTTCCCTAAAATTTTGAGGTCTTGATGTTATAAATTAAGTTAAGATTGTATAATTCGATAGTGTTGTAGAAAGTTGATATTATAATTCAGTAAAGTGTTGTGGAAGTTGTAATTTATCCTTCTGTGGTGTTGTCGAGGTTGTAATATTCTAATTCAGTACTGTTTTTATTTTATAATTCAGTAATGTTGTGGAGGTTGTGATATTATATTATAATTTATTAGTGTTGTGTGGGTTGTGATATTGTTTAAAATAGATGCTATAGCTGGGGGGAGGAAGGGAAGAGATTCACTTGGAGAGATTAATAGCACCTGAGCAAAAGCTGTCATTCATGTAGTGCCAGAAAATTGTTACTTATTGTGCTAAATTAAGGTGTGTATTTATGAATTTGTGGCTGTAGATATTTAGTGTTATAACAATTTTTAAAATGTAAAGGGCGACTTCCACATCTTGAAACATATCAGGTATTTCCTTTCCTCTTCTCCCCCTCGTTTTCCCATCCAGGATTGCAGTCTATGGGATTAACATCAAGGAAAATCAAACAGATCCCATGAAACCCCTTTCAACTGGGTGGCCATATAGCAGAGTTATATTGGGACACCACGAAATACTTACAGAGTAATCTGTATTACCGTGTGGGTGGATGGTGTAAGGCATATAGTGATGGCCCTGTATTGTTATGGTCCAGTAAGCACTGTGAGTGATATAGCCACATTTTTAGTAGGAAAAAGAAAAGCTCCAGTGCCCCTTAACAGACATGTCATAAAAGCGATTGGCTGTTTGGGAGACTAATTGGCACAATGCACCAATCACCAATCTAGGAGTGAACACATAAGAACAAGTGGGACCACGTAAATTTGTTAAAATCTGCCTACATGGTCATTCAAACTAAAGTCATTGTGGGTCATGTTAGCCACCATTTGTGTGATATTTTCCTGCATTTGTGATAGATGATTGACTCACCTCAGATGTGAGCCATATATGTTCCTAGTAATCTTATCACTGTGTTATCCTGAGAGTTTATATAACATTAATTGGCTATATGTCTTTTTTGGAGTTTTTGACTTTTATCCAAAATGTAACTTGCAGACAGGAATAATTAGACAATTTATTTATTCTTAATTTACACAGTGTATAAAGTGTTCCATTTGGAGTATAGTAACATGGTTTTTGTGTGTGTGTGCTATTTCTGAAAGTTATTGGTTATTGCACTTGGTTTTTCTTTCTTTCAGAGCTTGTGCCTTGGAGCGATGAGAAGAAGTTTGTCCCAGAGATTATTGAAACCAAGAGAAAGAGAAAGAAGAAGGTGTTGAGTGATATGATTAGTTTAGATGAAAATCCACTGGTCATCACAAGAACCTTGCAGAGCCTGTCGAAGATTCCATGCACTCCTAAACAGATAGCACAATCCTCATTCAGAGGGGCACCCATGAATGTGGGTGTGAAAACTTCAAGGGCTGTATTACCGGCTTTGGCTCCCAAGAGAGAGAATAAGGCTCCAACTCAAAATATGATCATTTGTCCTCAAAAAACTGCAAACAAAGTGAATGAATATATTACTGGCAGGAGTAATACAGAAAGAGGTAAACAGAATGGATCAGATAAGGTCAGATGTACTTCTCTTGAAGGTGACCCAACAACTGAAGTTATGCAGAAGGAAACCAAGGAAGTTGTGTGTTCAGGTGGAGATGCCGTGAAGATAACAGATAAAAAAGTGAACAAAAATATGTTGTTGAAGAAAAACGCAATGAAACTAGGACGGGCTAGGCTGCAATTTTCAGCTCATAGGCAGTTACTGCAGATAGATAACAGCTCAATCAAGCCTGTTGTTGTCAAACAAAATGAGGATGGGTCCACGTCTGTTGAAGACCATGATGAGACATATGTTCTAAATAACATAGAGCTGAGACCAGAATGTGATGACGAATGTCCATGCATGGCCAGTAATAAGTCTGTAAAGTCTCATTCATCTGTGAAAGATAAGCCAGATACTTTTGTTATTCATTTTACGCTACTGCCAGAGCATAAGAGTTTATCAGCGGATAATAAAATCATCTACCGGTGTGACGTATGTGACGGTGCATACAATCATGCATTTAGTCTCAAACGCCATTACTTGAGTGTTCACGTCAACCACCGTTACTTATCAAGAGATGATATTTTGAGCTGCCAGATAGAAACATTCCACATGGATATCGATCTTCAGAATGAACATGCAGAAATAAAAATTGGCACTTTGAAAGATGGTGAATCATCAGTTTTGAAGGTGCAGTCTGCAGATCAGACAACAAGTGTATCAAGTAGTGGTCAGGCCGAGATGCATGACCCAGACAACCTGGAGCAATCACCTGTCAAGGAGTGTGAAAACAATGACAAAGAAAACATTAGCTGTGATGTTCGGAAAGTAACTGTTGCCCAACAGTACACCAGTGTACCATCTTTAAAGCAGCTAGTGCAAGTATTACTTGGTAAGGCCAGCGGTACAACAGAGACATCATGCAGTCTAGTAAAGTTACAGAAACTTTCCATGACTTGTGGTGAAGTGAAAACTGGTTCCTGTATTATTGACAGCTGTATTAGGTCAAAAGGCACGGAACCTATGAGCCTTGATCTGCCTCGTCAGCTTGATTCAAGCATGGATTGTGTTATTTCTAGTTCAGTAGGCACTGAGTCTGAGAGCCTTGGTTTGTCTCAGCAGTTTGATTCAGGCATGGATTGTGTTATTTCTAGTTCAGAGGGCACTGAGCCTGAGAGCCTTAGTCTGCCTCATCAGCTTGATTCAGGCATGGATTGTGTTATTTCAAGTTCAGAAGGCACTGAGCCTGAGAGCTTTGATCTACCTCATCAGCTTGATTCAGGCATAGATTGTGTTATTCCTAGTTCAGGAGGCACTGAGCCTGAGAGCCTTGGTCTGCCTCATCAGCTTGATTCAGGCATGGATTGTGTTATTTCTGAGCAAAATGAAGGGATATCAAAAGCTGGTGCTGTTTCACTGGATGTTTCCCTGTATGTGCAAATTGACATGGAGAAGAAGCCTGAGGGTAGCACAGGGGAAATTATGTCTGCTCATGAAGATATTTTATGTAAAGCAGATGAAATTTCAGCTGACAGTTTTTGTGCTCAAGACAAAATGTGGGATTTAAATCCAAATAGACTTGGACATCATAACAAAAGTTTTGAAATTAGTTCATCATTAAACAGAAACCTTGCTCCCGAAGTTGCAGACTCCATAGATATACTGGACAACCCTGAATGGGGAATACCAAGTGAAACCTCAGAACTGAGTAGTGACCTGCTTATAAAAACAATTACTGGTGATCTCCAAGAGAATTCTCATGGAGACGTTTGTGGGAAAAATGATGAAAGTAGAGATCTCTGTCTCTCACATTGGAACCAGGTATTCGCAAATCACAGTGAAGAATCTGCTGCAGCGCTAAATGAAGGCTCTCCCACCGCAGACATACCAGATTGTTCAGCAGCAGAGCCAGATATTATGCAGCAGGTAGACACAGTCTCCACTGGTTCTGTGTTGGGTGTATTTAACATGGCAGGTACAGATTGTCCAGGGGAAATAGTTCCATGTGGTGACTCAAGTTCACATACGGCAGATTCTTTAAAATGCTTTGACCATTCCTCACCAACTGCATCATCACCACCTTTCATATTGTCTCAGGAGTTTCCTTCAGGAGTTAATGGTGTGTCTCCAGTTGTAGAACCTGCAGGATTAATTGACATATCTCCAGCTGTAGATACTATGGAATTGAATGACGTACCCCAGGTTGTAGATACTGCAGAATTAATTGATGTTTCTCCAGTTTTAGACACTGCAGGATTGATTGATATGTCTCCAGTTGTAGATGCAGCAGAATCAATTGATGTTTCTCCAGTTGTAGACACCGCAGGATTGATTGATATGTCTCCAATTGTAGATACCGCAGGATTGATTAAGGTGTCTCCAGCTGTAGATACCGCAGGATTGATCGAGGTGTCTCCAGTTGTACATACCGCAGAATTAATTGAGGTGTCTCCAGTTGTAGATACAGCAGGATTAATTGAGGTGTCTCCAGTTGTGGATACTGCAGGATCGATTGAGGTGTCTCCAATTGTAGATGCTGCAGGATTGATTCAAATGTCTCCAATTGTAGATACTGCAGGATTGATTAAAATGTCTCCAGTTGTACATAACGCAGGATTGATTGAGGTGTCTCCAGTTGTACATACCGCAGGATTGATTGCGGTGTCTCCAGTTGTAGATACAAACACAACTATTGAATCGTGTGATTTCGTTTCACCTGTGGTAAATAGTTTGGCTGGTTCCTCCAGTGAAGCTGCAGCATGTGAGCCAGTACAAAACATGGATTTTGTTACAAACTCTGTGACAACACAAGAAAAGCCAAAATCATTGGATAACCATTTACCTAAAAATTGTACAATACAAACAGTGGATGAGTGTTCTGCAAGCACAACTACTTCAACTTCGGTCATTCAGGGTCCTCCATCAGCACAGAAGCTAATTTTTGTCACCAACCTGGTATTCCCAATTGTCTCGCCCTCTCACCAACCTCACACTTCATCATCATCATGTGTATCACCGGGTCCATCACCACTGACAGCACAGACTAGTCAGTCTGCAAGTGTTCCCTTAGTTGTTATATCTCAGGTACCTTGTGGTCTCAGTATGCAGAATGCTGCCAGTGCTTTCCTGCCATCGTCCAGCACCCTCAAAGCTTTTCAGACCGTGAAAAGTTCCTTTAGTGTTTTGAACTTTGGCAATACCTCATCAGGACTGAGTTTATCAGTATTATCTCCAGGCAGCAACTCATCTAATTCATCAGTTGATGATAAAGTATTGCTGGACAGTTCATTTCCACATGGCATGTCTGCAGCAGCTACAACTCCAAATATTTGTTCAGCTTCTGAACAAACTACGGAAAAGCTGGTGAAACCAAGATTGAATCTGTGTGCTCAGTTTGCAGCAATAACTCCCATGGTTTTTGGTGGTCCACATGTCCCAGCCTCTAGTGCTGGTGGATCTGCTAAGTGTACAAGTCCCCCCACGAAACTTTCTTTTTCTTCCATCTCTAGCTTAACTTCTGCAGGTAATGTCTCTCTTGTAGAAGGCCAGCCAGATGATTTGTATCGATGCCACATGTGTGTGCGTGTCTTCAGAACAATGAATGAATTGAAATTGCACATCAGAAATGACCCTCATCGTTTCAAGGGAGGAATTAAGCAGTATGCCTGCCAGCAGTGCAGTATGAGGTTCTCCAACAAAAACAACTTGATAAGACATAACCTCATGAATCATCTAGAGAGTGAAAGTAAGTGATTTTTCTGTATATCACATTCTATTTACCTTTTCTGTTTATCATTCCAAGCTCTTGAGATCCATTGCTGCAGATTTTGCCTACCTCCATTCGTCTCTGTGGTTAGCCTTCTCTTTTCACTTGATGACTCCAAGTATTTATATGTTTGCCTGCTTTCTCTCCGAGGTCTTCTTGGTCTGCCTCTTGGTCTGCTGAGGTTTAACTCATTTGTGAACGTAGTTTATGTCTCTCTGATCTGCCGTTCTTTCTTTTACAGGCTTTTAGCCCTCATGACGCCAGTAATTAGTGGTGTTATTGACAGCTTGTGAATGTTCATATGGTGTTAGATTTAGCAAATCAAAGTCATATACCTGATTGCTATATAAAACATTTGACAGTGAGTATTTATACAGTCATGAGCTTTCATGTTTCCAAAAGAGAGCTGCAGCAAATACTTGCTGGCTCAGCTAAAACAGGGCTAGGACTAGCTGAAAGATGTGCTACCTTTCTTAAATTCAGCATTGGAATTATAGTTCATATATCAGGCCTTGTAGAGCAAGTATGGTCTGCTGCATTGACTCTGTCTTTTACTAGATCTCATGCATTTCATAACCAAGATATCTTTAATACCCTATCATCATTGTGCTGGTTGGTGCCTGCCTCTTCTACCAGGAACCAGGCTTTCTGTTTAGAATAGATATAATGAATACAGTGACATAGAAAGTGACAGTAAAAATCAAATTATATAGAAGCATAAAGGCAAGTCTAGTATTATATGAGAGATCAGATTGAGTAGACTGTTTTTGTAGGCTTGGAGTCTCATGAGGCAAATCATGACTTTTTTGAATGAGGGGACAAACACACAAAAGAGCAGCAAACTTTGTTCCTAACAGGATGTGTATAAAACTTCATAGGGAAATAAATACCTGTATCTTATTTTACATTTGGCACCCCATCAACATAAATACATTGTTTTATGAGTCAGTGTCAGAGTCTAGGTATGGCTGTGAGTGGAGTCCAATATACTGGTACACTTTAATGTGATAAAACAGGTGAAATGGGGTGATGAGGCAAAGAGAAGAGCATTTTGTTACAAGCTGAGAATACCTGCCACAAACTTGTAGAGTTGAGTCTGATTGGTGTAAATGTAGGGTTTGATTTGTAAAGGACTGGCTCATTTTACACACGTGGAAATAAAAAAGAGTAGCCTAACGGCGCCGCCTGGGTACAATTTGGAGTTGAAAATCTACCCAGACGTATTTCAGGATCCTCGCTAGTGCAACGGAGTGCATGCACTGCGCTGAGATTCTTCAGATTCATGCTTGAGTCAGAAGTACAGCTGAGCACTTATGGGTTACACCCGTGTGCCATGATGTTGATCCGTCGAATAAACATGAACAAACATTAACATTTTACTCAGCTTTCCTTTCATTGCTCCAGTTTCCTCCCGCATACTACACACACAAACACACGTGTAGCTGTACAGTTCACTACCAAAGGGTCAAGGGGGAAGTTAACCATCCACAGGTTTCTATTTATTTTTAAAATTTTGGTTCATGGAGAAAATGGTGGCCCTTGTTCTGAGTTTGGTTGGCTTAAGTGTGCACCTTCTGTAAGTAAATCTTGAATGTATGTTTGTGCCACCTAAATGCCAGCCAAGGAAATATCTCTTTCAACTTGCAGCTCTCCAAGACAAACTTCCTCTTGTCTGTCTAACCAAGTATTGCTTTCTATCCCACTATTCTGATGTCTGGTTGTATTTAATCTGTTTTCAGATTACAAGTTCCGATGCTACACTTGTGGAAAAGGTTTTATGTGTGAGACCTACCTGAAGATGCATGCACGGTTTCACTCAGGCAGAAACTTTCCCTGCAAGTATGGCTGCACTGATGTGTATTTCCCCAATGCTGCATCCCTGGTCAAACACTTGAGGACCCAGCATCCAGGTCTCAACCTCAAAGAGTACCTGAGAAATGCCAAGGCTTGTAAAGCACATAGCAAGAAACTGAGCTGCTTGCTTCAAAAATCCTTGGAACAAAACACCAGTCCAGAAACTGAAGGGCAAACCTTGGAGAGGAGTCAGAGTGTAGCTTCTAAGCTTTGTTACAGCCTAGAGCAACCTGGTCTTGGATTTCAAGCAAAACGTGGACACTCTAAAAGTTTAAAGGCTGCAGCCATCTTACCACAAGGGGAGGAAAGAAACATGGCAGACCAGAGGTGTGGGGTTGTACCGGACAATGAAGGATCTCCACCAAACGCTGAGAACATCAGTAGACTACGTTATGTGTGTCACATGTGTTTGAAAGGATTCCGCTCTCATTTAAAACTCCTTCAGCACAGAACACACAGTCATGGTGCTAACGAGTCTGTTCAAGAGTATCTGTATGAGATGTCCAAGGACACATTAGATGAAGACTTGTCAGACACAGTATCAGTGAAATTGAAATTCTCCCCACCTCCATCACCCACATCATTTTTTGAAAATGTTAACAAAAGAGGCTTTGAAAATATGAATCATTACATAGACGGTAACATAGAATCACTCCAGTTTTGGCAGAAACACCTGAACTTGGAAGATAACAGTGAACCACTGTTAGTTTCTGAAGCAGTCAAGAAGCTGGAGTGGACCACATTTAATTTTCCACCCTGTTTTGAATATAGGGAAGATTGCACGGTTTTCTATGACAGCACCACACAACCTGGGACATCGCCTAGACTGTTGCCCTATCTAGCAGAAGATCTCAAGGAGACAGGCAACTGTCGAGCACATGCTAGTGGTGTTACCAATTCAGATTCAGAAGATGCCAGTGTTGCTGCTTTAAAGCCAGAAACAACTGAGCTGCGTTCACAGACACTTGCAGAGAGCATCCTGCATTGTGAAGATGACACAGGTTCTCAGAAGGATAGCAGCTGTATGGATGTTGATGGACAAGGTCTGGTTGGTACAGGCGACTCACAGGACCATGTCATGGAAAGTCACCATGGGAGAGAGCTGAACAAAAGTGTTGGCAGTGCGACTAGGACTGGCAACTGTGAACCCATAAATTATTCTGAAAAAATCACATTGGAACAGAACGACCAGTGTACATTTGTGAATCTTGTTGCTGAGAAGCAGGAAATTAATGAAAGAGATGCTTTGTCGGAAGAGTCAGTGGTAGAAGATGTGCTTTTTGAAGATAAGGTTTCTGTTACAAGGGACGATTCTGTGATTATTCAAGAAGTGGAAGCAGAAAACCATTACATTTGTAGACATATAGTTGGTGAGCTAGTTAACAGTGCTGAAAGCGCAATAGAAGAAAAATACAGTAGGAGCAGGCCAGATTCAATGCTCGATGGAAACAGTAACTTAAAGGTATGGCCATGCGAAGGAGCTCAGTCAGCATCTGCAGCTGATGCCCCTTCAAGTGGTGTTGTCCCTCCAGGTGTTGAAGTAGAAATCAAGCAGGAAACGACTGAGCCTGTTCAGGAAATTAATTCTACCTCTGGTGAACCGTTCATTTTAACAGATATGATCTCACATAAATTCATTGAGTTTTCTACCAAAGACAAGCTTGACCTGTTTAAAAGTCAGTGTATACAGGGACTGGACCTTGCAGTTTCAGAACATAACCACACACTTTTACTACAAAAAGGTCTGCTGCCCAGAGTCACATCAGTTTCACATTTGAAGTCACATAATTCACAGTCTTTGTTAGGTGCTTTAGACTTACAGATCATGAATGGACAATGGTCCTCTGAAACACTGGACCACAAGGTTGGTGATGGTTGCAGGCAGGCTGTAACTTCTATGAAGAAAAGGGCACTGTCTTTGGAATCTTTGATATTATGGCCTCGAGGGAAGCAGTCTGTTAGACACTTTGACCATGTTTTAGACAATTCACTCAACAATTCTGACACATCAAGACATGATCACAGACGTTATTCAATATGGACTGGACAGGTTCATCAGAGGTTTGACAGTTCTAGCAAGCATGACATGTTTTGTCAACCAGTGACCGAAGCTGTGAGAAAACAGGAAGTCATGCGTGAAACTGCTCAGTATAACTATGAAAAGTCAATCAGGGATAATGAAATGCGTGGGAGAGATGAAAAAGTAACCCTGAAGGCGAGCTTTGCAGAAAGTTTGGGACTGATGAGTAGAAATGAGTTTGAGCTGTCATACCATGCACGCAGAGAGCAACAGTTTATCATAAAGGTACCTGAAGTTTGGAGCAATTATGAGAATATTTGGTTTGGGAAAAAAGGAAACATAACCGTGGTGTGTTCGGTCTGCCACAGACACTTCAGCTGCTGGGACTTATGTTTGCGTCACCAGCTGAAGAAACATCCACACATCGAGCCAGCATCTCTGGAAATGGAGAAGGACAATTATGTTGAAGATATGTTTTATTATTACCCCATGCCTTATGGCATTCTTGCCCAGACACATCTGATTCCAGATAACCTTCCCGTCCCTGAAGTTTTTGTTTGCTTGAGATGTGGCTTTCCTTTCAAAAACATCAACAGACTTCATGCACATATGATTATTTGTGACCCTGCTCAGGAAGATGCAAGTTCTGGTCAGAACAATGGGGTTAGAAAAGTCTCTTATATGAAAAAGAAACTGCTTCCTATGATGGATAGGCGTTTGCACCAACAGGTGGAACAACCGAAAACAAAAGTCAGTAAAACAAAAAGTGGTGTTGATGTGAGTGCAGCTTTTGTTGAAACTAGGCACAACAAATCACTGCCAGTGAATGGGAAAACAGGTAAGCCAGCACAACATACTTTGGACAACAAACTCATGGCTTCAGCTGTTCACAGTCGTACCGATTATTCCACTGATTTCTCATTTTATTCTTGTAAAAAGGGAAAGAACTACGAACTGTTGTACAATCCACAAAATCACACCAGACGCAGAGAAATGTACAAAATTTTAGACCAGCACCAGTGCCATGGCTGTAACCTCAAGTTTAACTCTCTGTACATGCTGGAGAAACATGTCAACAAGTGTAGCGGCAAGGACAAGCTTCAGAACCAGAAGCCTCTGCTTAGTGGAATTATGCCAGATGATGCTGCCTTGAGAAAACAGCACACATGCAGATACTGTGGCAAGAGATTCACATACATTAAAGGTGTTGATCTTCACTACAAGAGGATCTGTGCTGTCAGAAAAGTCAAGGAGGAGGAGAACCAGCTGACTGAAGAAGATTTAGCACATGAAGCAGAGCTAAAGAAAATACTAGAACACATCAAGTGGAGCAAGTCTCTGAGTAAGGACAGCAGTGACATCATACAGGGTCATGTCAGGGTTGAAGAAGATGGGACTCTAACAAGGGTAGTCAAAGACAGTGATTGCTCCCCTGGCCAGAAAAAGAAGGTAAAAAAGAAAGGCAGCAATTGGACTACATTAAAGAGACACCGTATGGAGGAGGATGTTGACAGTGCATCATCAGTGTCCAGTGATATTCACAGATCTCCAGGGAACACCAAAAATGTGGCAGATGAGAAAGTTGCAGACAATTTAGATGTAGTTGGAAAGAAGAGGCTTACTAGGAGTGCAGGTCAAGAAGGGTTTCATGAGAAAAATGGGATAAGAAGCAGAAGACCTACTTCAGCTGAAAGGGGCACAGCAGGAAAGAAGGCAGACACATCTTTAAAGTCTGCATTGGTAAACTCAAGTAGCAAAAGCCACAGCCCGAGTTCACAAAATAAAGCAGGTAGCGGTTGTCACAGTTTGAAAGGCACATCAAAGAAGATGGCATGCAGTGAACTAATAGATGTCTCGGAAAGTAGGAAAAATAAAGGTAAAGGCTCTGTCGTAACCAGTGGATCCTCTCGCGGCACAAGAAGCAGGCAAATCGGCAGCATAGTGTCACCAGCTGACAATGTGACAATCTGCATTAAACCACCAGACAGGAAGAGAGGCAAGCCTAAACGTTTCGATCCTAGTGATATGGAGTCCAGTTACAAGAAGAAAAGAAAAGATGAAGACATTATTTTTGAACAGACAAAACCTGAGTCAGGAGGAAGAAAAAGAAACGCCACCAATGAGACTAAGCAGAAAGTGAGTACAGCTGCCAAGGGTATTGATGTGGGTAAGTCATCGCATGTAATGAGACCAATCTCTTCTAGAAGTTCAACAGATGTTTCCGCCTCAGCACCTACATCAAAAGTCTGTGTTAATAAAAATCAGTCAAATAAAGTAGAGGAAAGTAAATTGTTTGAAAAAATGAAAAAGTTAAAGGAAGCAGCCAAGTCAGAAAGTAGGAAGTCTAGTCAAAAGAGAAAGTTGTCTGTTTCCCTGTTCACCAATTTTGCAAATAAGAAGTGTGATTCTGGTGCTTCTGATGAGAAGAAATCTGACAAGCCTGTGAACAAAGTGTCCAATAGCTCAGAACTGTTTAAGCATTTAACAACGAGTGAAAAATCCTTGCAGAAACACTCACCACAGAAGACAGCTTCAAACAGAAAGAGGATTTCATCCATGGATGATGATGATGAGGTTAACAGCAGCCAGATGTCAGCAAAACATATAAAAATAACCACCCAAAATGGCAGAAGTAAATCACCTGCAAAACCTGGGTTGAGCACAAGCAGCCATGACATGGAATCTCCTAGCTCACATTTCAATAAAGTAGCACAAAAGTGTCAAAATAAAAGTCAGGACAGATATGAGTCCGACCAGGAACCACTAGTAGTGCGGACATCATCATCAGCACGAATATTGTCGTCATCAGCAACCAATCTGAGCGCAGATTCCAAGAGTTCTCTGTCAAAACCAACCAGTCCAATCTCTAAACGACCAACAGTGACTTTCAAAGTGGTGACACTGTCTCCCAATGGAAGTAATTTATTGACTTATGATAGTTCTGCTGATGTTCCACAATCTTCACTGTTGTTGACTAAACCAAGTAAAGGGGCTTCCCATTCATTGCCGGCTCAACAAATTCTCAAATGCTTACCACAGCGACCCATACAGTTTGTGACCAAAACATCAAGTCTGTTGCAAGGGACAGAACTGAAGAAAATCTGTCGTGAACCGAACATAAAAGTGATCAGTGCAGAAAACCTTGGACTTAATGTAGTACGTAAACAGGCTGTTAGTACCTTGGTCAGTGCAGATGGTGACAATATTAGGATTCAAAAGCCTGTTTCTCAGGTTTGTAATCAGGGGTTTATTTCTCAAAAAGATGTTCAGTGTAGGGCATCATCTAGTCCAGATGGTAAACAAGCTTTGACCTGTCGTGCTGTTTACAAACAAGATAATAATGAAACATCACAGTCACTCCATGATACAGAAACACAGATATCACATCATGTGGCTTCACATAGTCAGGGCAGAGTCATCATTCAAAGAGTGGTAGACAAACACTTTAGGGACAATCAGCTTTTAGGCAACATTTGTGAAAGTCAGGTTATGCCGAGCTCAGCTGAAAGCTCTCTAACAGACTCTACAGATGAAATCTTCCCTAAACAGTCTCAGAAAACCTCGGAGAAGGACATCTCACAATTGTGTCCTGCTAACCTGTTGTTTACAAAGCAAACAGGTGATGCTGGCACAGCAGATGAGAATCCACCAGCTGAACAAAATCAAGCTGTAGTCAGCAGTATCTCTTCCCTTCTTACTCTAACAGAACCACAGCCTCAGTGTCAGAAGCAGCAGACATTTGCTGAACAGTCGAATGAAGTATGCAATATTCTTCAGTCAGTAAGCCAGTCATGTCCCAGATCTTCAAACATTGCTTCTGTGAAATCATTTCCTGCACTTCATGTAGCAAATTCTTCTTCAACAAACAACCCCGAGTCAGTGTCGACCATTGTTGTTCCATCAACAACAGTTAAAGTACATGTTACCTTACCCCATGCTGTTTCAACCACCACGGCCACAAAATTAAGCTTCCCTAATAGGTTCAGATCTCCACCAAAAGTTGTCACGGTCACAGGCACTGTACTCCCTCACCTCAGCATGGCAAACCCTGGCCACACAGCCACTAGAATATTGAAATTAGGAGCTGTCAGTATCAAAAGCACACCTGTGTCCACAACCCAGCCACAGAACATCACTGTTCACAACAAACAAGTCTCCAACAGCCCATGTGTTGTGCCTCAAAACATTACTAAAAAACCACTAGTTGTGACTGCAGGCCAGCTGCCCAGACTTCTGACCCCAGGAGCTCGTCACCAGCGTCCTAACACACAACAGATCATCATGCCAGGTGCATTAAGACAATCTGTGTTAAATATTGCTGCTAACCAAACAAACTGCACCACTCAGATTCTTCCAGGAAGATGCCTGCCTAAAACTGTCTCCCCACAGATCAGTATACCTCAGTCCTCGCTTGGACATAAAATAGTCAATGTGGCACAGCCCCTGGGTGTGCCCAATGTGGGAAGCTCTCTTCCTGTAAGCAGCATCAAATCCAGGAAGACCTCAAGCATCTGTCTTATTCCTGCACCTGTTAGTCCAGCACCGAGCTCCAACCAGATCATGTTTAGTCTGGATGATGGTACAACTGCAATGCTAGACCCTGACTCCCTTGCTCAGTTTTTGACTGTATCTCCTTCCCTGAGCAAGTCTGAACTCTACTCAACTGTTCCTCCACCTACTGCTGTTCAAGAATATAACAATCCATTGGTGTTGAATGTAGCAGGAAATCAGCAGATTCACTCAGATGTTGAGGAAATCAACTGGCCTGCAAATGGAACCGTAGACTTGATCGATTTGCCAGATACAGTTATTGATTAGACATTCAGCTTATGGTGCAGTTTACAGTGAAGTTAGCAACAACCAAACAGTAACTGCACATGTCTTTTACAGTCGTCATTCATTATTGTTGTGTGTGTGTGTGTATGCACCCACAAAATAACAAAGAGAGGAATGCATTCATTTTCCATTATTTTCTTTTGACATAGAAGGGGTGTCATGTGATCAGTATTATGCGAGTCATGGCTGTCCTAGTTGTGTCTGTGAGCCATTGTTTGAGGCTGGGTTGAGCCCAGTGCATTTCTTTGACCACTTGACAAGTTGCTGCTATTCCCATATATGCAGACAATACCTGTGGGTTCTTTTGATCTCTAGTCTGTGTGTAGAAATTTGACCTCGCAGATCACTGCTAATTACATTCAAGTATGCTCAGATAGACTCTGCTAGTTCTAAAAATTTGTTGGTGTGTCTTTCTTTGTCACCTTGTTCCTTCATTAAACAGAAGTGACAGATTCAGCCCAAATGTACCTACTGAATTTTAATGCACCCAATTCACTTCAGGACTTTAGTACACAACCTTGTAAATCAATCTGTTACTATGATCTAATTATAATCACATGATAAATACTTATGACTGTTCCCCGTGTGGGTACCGGGACCCCATGGGGGGAGGGGGGGGAGAGAACAATAGACCCACTGCCTTTCTAATAAGCCTGTAAGAGTTGACTACTTAAATTGTTTCCTTCAAAGTCAAGTGCATCTACCTGAGAGGCAGGGAACCAATAGTCTGCATGCACGTGTCAGTTATGTAAAAATGGATGTGTAATGCAAAACTCAACATATGGAACAAGACTGAAGTCCAAAAGTGGAAAAAAACCGGAACTTTCTGAAGGAGTTTATAGCCGTTGAACTTGAAGAAGTGACTTTGATGCAGGTGTATATTACAGTAAACAAACAGAAGATAAAGTCGTGAAGTGTCACAGCTTCACATATAATAGATCAGTAGAAGGGTGTAGTGTTTGGCCTTCAAATATATCAGCTCATATCATTAGGTGCAGTATGCAGCTCCTCTCTTCATCACATGAATTGTTCCAGAACTCATCTTGTTACTCTGGGTCCAGCCAAGAACTGGAAAATATAATCATGCAGTTGATTGTTAAAGTGAGGGATGTTTTTTACAGCTTCCAGCTTTGTTGTAGATAACTCTTATTGCTGCTGGGAGAATCATTGGATGAATTTGTGACTGCATGCCTAGTTTTTGTTCTTTTTGCTGATTAACTAAATTCATTTTGTTGAGGTTTGTTGATGTTGCATTTCACAATGATTGAATAAGGTTTTTCATCTCCATGTTACCAGGAGTCTCACCGGTTGATGTTGTAAGCTGTTGAGACTTTCCTTGTTTGCATTGTTCATGCTCACTTGAAATAAAGGAGTTGACATTTTGCTTTATGTTGTGGTGGTTTGTTCTCAGTCTTCGTGCTATGTGCTGAGCATATTTGTATGTTCTTAGCCTTACCTCTGACTACAGATAAGCTCAAATGTCATTGCTGTGTAGAATTGGAAAATTCCCTTTGTGGGGGAAAACAAGAACAGACCCAGTGCCTCCCCAAAAAGCGTGTCATAGGAGTTGAATAATTGGAAACTTCCTTCGAAGTCAGAGTGCATCTGCCTCAGAGGCAAAGAACTAACAGTCTGCATACCCCAAAAAAAACCAGATCTGTAAAATGGATGTGCATGCAACACTCGGGTTTTATAACGAGACTGAAATGCTGAGGTGGGCGAAAAGTCAGAATTATTAGTTTATTAATAAATAACATAAACAAGCATTTAATTGATCCAGCAAAATCAGCAAATGACAATCATAACAGGACACAAACATTATCGCATACACATAACAGGTATGTGTGTGTGTCTGTCTCTGTCTTTATTATCTGTAAGAAAATAACAATCATATTAAGACAGACTTTATTATTCACACATGACAGGTGTGTGTCTATCTCTGGCTTTGATATCTGTAAGAAAATATATTAGGACAGACTTTATCATGTACACATGACAGGTGTGTGTTTGTCTCTGGCTTTGATATCTGAAAGCTTATTTAGGACCTCTGTTTGCTTTTCTAAAATCATTATTTCAGTTTGTGTGTTTTGTCCTCTGTACTTTTATTTAGATGTAGTAAATAAATAGTTTTATTTCAAAATTGTAATATTTACATTACCTGTAAAATGAGTCCACATGCACCATCAATGATAATCTGCCATTCTAGTGGCACAATGTTGTCAGGTCTGATAGCTTTATGTATTTGCTGCATGTAAGAACTACTGGATTTTCCAAGAACTGATCCGTCACTAGTTTTCAACTGGTACAGTGAAGGGCATATTGTGTGGTTTTCACTAACATGTAAACAAAGCATTAATGACGTGACCTGTTTGCCTCGATTTTGGAACTGCTGCTATCTTGTTCTTTTGCATTCATCTAAAGAAGTAAGTGCATTGTGCCCATTTACAGCAGCCTTTCGCCCGACACATCCTGCTTCTGCAGGCATTTGTTGACTGGGCTAGCCTTCCCGGTTAATTATGTAGGACATTGCAGTCTCATTGTTGTGCGGTCACCTTTTGTTTTCCAGATCACAGGTGGTGCCCCAAATCAGACCAGTCCAGAGAAGCCACGTAATACTGGTCAGTCCTCAGGAGAAGAGAGGGGCAGAACATGAGCACTCCTCTACCATCCAAGTAGACTTCCATAAATGCAAAGCTAATACATGGTGCTTTGGTACTGGGCTCACCCAAGGAGTCACCATATCCAGTTTATGACTGTTTAGCCTCACTTACATGTATTAAACATCTCATTCATCATGGGCTATGTCTTTAGAAGTCAGCAGTAGGATATCGATTACCTACACAAAATGAGTACTCTTCTTTTTTTTTTTTTTTTTTTTTTTTGCATGTTAGACTTTTACTGCAGTGAACTTCCGCATCCACTATAGTTTCATATGAAATTTCCCAAATGCCTTAGGGCATTCAGTGTGGCAGTATATGGACAGATGGGTCTATTTCATTTTGTTCCCACATCATGGTTTAAGAACTCCTCCTCTCTAGGAACTATCAGCTTTGAGAATCCACGACAGTTTTCTTCTTATACCTTCAGATGTTAATTGGAATATATTTAAGGAAATCAGCAGTCAACTTGAGGATGCTGACATCTCCACAGAGTAGGCCTCAAAATGATCGGGTGTCAGCCAGAAAAATTGTCTCTGTTCTGCATGTTAGTTGGGTTATCATCATTGCACTCCGGACATGTCCATAGGTGCTCAGATCCTCCCCTCAGTATGAACCCCAATGTCCAATGGCTTTTAGTACCAGTTCTATGCTGATTAACAAGTCGTCTAGTGTGTGTCTCGTTTTTTGCTATGCCGATCTTAATTCCCAAGTCTGCCATTCTGGCGAGTGATGTGGATTCACTGCCCCCAAAGTCCTCTATCCTTCCCATTTCTCTAAGAACATTAATAATATCAGCATGATCCATAGGCTGACCGTCGGTAGTGATAGTGGATCCAGCTAACCTATCAGCTCTTTCATTTCCATCAACACCAGTGAGTCCCGGAACACAAATAAAGGTGACTCCACGCACAGTGGACTTCTGTAATGATTCAAGCCATTGTCTTCAAACCGAACATGCCTGATTTAAGGATTGCTCCTTAAGAACCAACAGGACTCTGAAATAATAATGTTGAGGCGTCGGCTCGTATTGGTCTAAGGGAGATCCCGTGGCCAATATACGCCCAACTTATTTCAGGAGTAGGGCAACTCAAGCTCTGGTACAACAGAATATCTAATATTCCTAGGCACACTTGGCTGGACACCCCCACTACTATAAAAAGATAGCCCCCAGGTTATGATAGTATATTATCATAGCCATGTTAACACAGATTACACCTACTAATCACACAAACATGAAACTAGACAGAATGGTGAAACAGGGACACCCAATTCAGCCATGAAAATTTCTGAAAAAGGTTGTAATAATTTCAACATATATATATATATAAATATCAAGACAATCAAGATGGTTTCCAGTGAATGAAGTCAGGACTCAACCTCACAGCAATGATGTTGAAACAGCCAGATACCGTTCTGAGAATATATGAATCATCCCTGTGACTCATAGGTGGCAATGTAAAGAGAGCACGTATGTCATCTCAGATGGTATCAGAGTTGGTAGGTCATTGCTCCCCTCAGTCCATGGTGATTTGAACCAGCTGACTCAATAGATCGCTTTTCTCCTGGTTGAGCTGGTAAACACTGATCGTCTCACATATGAGGACAAAGGAAATGCACTGGAGCCCCACAAAGCTCCCGAAGAAGGCTTCCTTGGATTGATGACACAGGTGGCCTGCAATACTGTCTCTCAGCCACTGGAACTCACACACAAGCTCCTGAAGAAGGATTCCTTGGTTTGATGACACAGGTGGCCTGCAATACTGTCACTCAGCCACTGGAACTCACACACAAGCTCCTGCCATGTTGAAGTTCTGCCAACAATAGGTAGGATTTTGGGTAGGTTTGGTGATAGGAATGGTATGGGTTGGTGATTGTTGGTTGGACTGTGATTCGTCTGCCTGACTTCTAAGGAGGTATCATCCTGTCAGGAAAGAACTCAGAATTAGTAATCTTAAGATTCACACACCAGCTCAACTTATCTTCCGCTACCGTTCTCAGTCACTCAGAGTATACTCCCAAGAACAGGAGACCATGTCCCCTTTCATTTATCTGCCTGTGAGTCAGTAACCAGATAGAAGACAAGGTACATAGTGGAGATAGATAGACACTACTACACATAGATCATCCTCTCTCCACCTTGCCATCTGCACCCGCAGACATACATTCTATCCCGTTAGTACATGTACACACTTCATATCTCCACAATCTTCCTACTACACACCCAACGTTGTTGTGCTAAAATTAACCTTTGACTCAGAGCGCCTAGCTCTGACGTCACAGCATCTAGCCTAAAGGCTGACCCAGTTTACCTATGTCTGTTAG